CTTACAGAAGGGTCACAAGGAAGAGATGAGTCAGTCAGGGTGCAGTATAGCACCGATGAAACACAACTTTCCTCTAGTTCTTTAATGCTTCCTCCTCCCCCACTATTATGATCCCAATTCTACCTTACAAATCTGGCTAGACTAGAGCATGTACATGGATACAGATAAGATCTGGAAACAGGGAATCCAGGACAGATAAACCCCTTAGCATGAATAATGAGAGTAGCAATAACAGGAGGGGAATAACAGGAGAAAGGGCAATAACAGGAGAAAGGGGAAACCAATCACAATGATCTACATATAACCCCCTCCCAGGGGGACAGACAATAGAAAAGTGGGTGAAGGGAGACATCGGTCAGTGTAAGACATGAAAAAAAAAAAATTTATAAATTATCAGGGGTTCATGAGGGAGGGAGGGTAGAAGAGGGAGAGAGGGGGAAAAAATGAGGAGCTGATACCAAGGGCTCAAGTAGAAAGAAAATGTGTTTTGAAAATTATGATGGCAACAAATGTACAAATGTGCTTGACACGATGGATGGATGGATGGATGGATGGATTTTGATAAGAGCTGTATGAGCCCCAGTAAAATTGTTTTTTTAAAGTAGTTATATACCAAAAAACCATCCCGGCTCAGTCCACCTGAAGTCCATGATTCTGATACTAGTCTGTAAGCCCTTGTGACTCACACAGCAAAATGCAGTGATGCAGAACAAAGGCATACCACGGGCCTGTGGGTACAAAGTCATGTGGCTCCAATGGTGGTATCTGTGGCAGCAATCAGGGTCAGCCAGCAGGAAGGTGAAGGCAGAAAGGTGAAGGGTAGGATGGGGGGCGGTTTCCAGGGCCCTCCTTATGAGGCAGGCTATCCCCATAAGGAGGCACCATTAAGCTGTAACCTGATTGGCAGATTAAACTCCACTCCTATACTTTTGTCTATCTGTCTAATTTCAAGTAGACATGAAATGATGTAACTACCACAAACAAATAAATCTGTCTTGGCAGCAGTATGGCCAGAATCCTTGGAAGAAAAGACAGCAAGACTCTATGTACATTTGACATGTGATCAAGAGGGACCAGTCTCCAAAGAAGGATTAATGCTTGGTGCAGTAGCAGGTTGGAACAAAGAGGAAGTCTCACAGATTACTGGAAGGAGTTGCAACAATGGACTCAAACATCACAACTGTAAGGATAGGGCAGGACTAAGTAGAATTTTATTCCA